CTCCCCCAAACACACTAGGGCCTAAAATTGTCCCAAGATTTCTCCAACAGTGCAGCCACCGCATTTTTTTGAAGGAGTACGCAGCTACACCCTCCTCATTTCCGAGGTATGGCGTGTCCATATCAACTGACTCCACCCATCTCTTTTTCACAGATTCCCCTGTTTTTTGAAGCTCCAATTTTCGTGACATCAAATTGTCCAGGTTCCAAGCTACAGACGCTTCCTTGCTGATCTTTGCTTTTTCTATGCGGGTGTTTATCATGACTCCGTTTCGCTTACTTCCGTTCACATGCTCAAGTCATATTTTGCAGAAATGGCTGGAGGGCAGCTTACCGACCAGATCTGGTACTGGGGAAGCGTTGATAAAACCGTCGTTTCTGAGGTGATTTTCACACCGTTTGCAAATTCTCAGTTTGCACAGCAAGAGCCGCGCACTTTTTTTCTTTTCAGATCATGCAGGATCAGCCAGAAGGCACATTCATGGTCCGCGATGCTTCGTCCCCGGGCGACTTTACTCTTACTGTCAGGTGCGTCCGTTTCACATTTACCGCATTCATACGGACTTCTACACTTAACCTCAAAGTGTTTAAGACGTTCTGTAGCAAGATAGGCTGCAGTAGAGCTCATAAGTGCTGTGTTTGAATATCTAATCGATGTTTTGGACTGATCCCAGTAATTGTGTTAGCAGTCTAATTCTGTTTTTGTCTGATTCTCCCAACTACCAACCTTTCGCTAGTATCGTTTTTCAGCTCCGACGCCACTACCCGGCTGTGCTATGTTTCTTATGTTTTGTCATGCCTTGCAGGTTACGAGTTTGTGACAAGACAATCGTATTTCGTCGTTTGTTGGGTGTCGCGTGCAACGTCACACTAACTGTGCGACAAATTGCGATTGTCTTGACCGTCTCTTATGTTAGTTCCACTTCTCATCTCCGAGAAACATCTGACGTTTCGATGACTACCTTATAAAGTATACCGGGACCTTGTAGTAGTCTCATTTTTCCTTCTCCTCAAATTGTTTGTGTAAATTTGAGACCATAATTTTCAT